AATAATAATAATAAATAAATAAATAATAAATAACAAATAGTAATAATAAATAATAATGGATCGAAGATAGCAACAAACTAAGGAGCAGTTTTTTTTCCTCACTGATAAACTATTTGCTTATCAAAATTTTGAAAGAATTTAATCTTTGATTCTTTTCTCGTAATTTTTATGATAGTTCGTTTTTTGAAAACAATTTGCTTAAAGCATATATTGGCTGTTGTTTGTATGAGTTGTTTGCACTTTTCCCTTCGAAGCATAATGAATTTTCTTTTTTTTTCTCTCAAAAAAGATCTCATTTTACGGAAATAAAAGATAAAATAAGAACTGAAATATCTCATCGTTGAAAATCATTACAAAGATGTAGTGGAGGACGGGAAGATGGCGATATTTATATAACTGAGATGGATATATGATATGATAGAGCCGTAAGATGTGACATGTACGATAGCAATTCCTTCTTTCAGCCATCTAGTTTTTAATCAAATTAATTCTTCTTAATTTTATAAGTTAAGGATATGACTAATCCTAAAATTTTTATTCCTGTTTTGCTTCATTTCATTATTTATCATATATTTGATTAAGTTAACAATTAAAACTGGATTAATATACCATCATTTTTTTAGCTCATTTTGTCCCTATCTTATATTTACTGAATCCCAAATGGGGGAGAATATTGTCCTCATTAGGCTACTTTCATGTCTGATACTATTCTTAATTCTTTTCGTTTCTGGAATTACTCATCTTAAAAATATTTATCAAAAACATACATTATCACTTATCAGATTCCATATACCTTTCCTTCCTTCCTCTTCTAGACTACAACAAATTTTGAGAAAGAGGAAAAGAATCAAAGAAAAAAATCGGGGAAGAAATTTAGAAATGATCAAAAAATATATGTAGGATAAAGTCTTACTATTATCACTGGACATGCTTAACGATGATTTGTCATCTTTTTCGAATTGCTTGAATGCCATTCTTTAATGAACAATGATAACGACATCCAGAACTAGCGCAAGAGATAATAGTGATAACTGCTGAACTGAAAATGATCGATACTTATCAATACATTAATATCCATTAACAAGATGTGAAGTCAACAAGTGTCAGTGAACAAAGTTCATTTTATCAACAAGTTGTTATTTCTCTTGCTATGTACTATTCTTCCGGTAAATAAACAGTGATAGGAATTTGTTTTGGATAAAGACGCTAAGTGAAAGATTAATGATCAGAGTAGTTACATAAATCATCAAGGTCACTTGGATGTTAGCGGAAATATTTGCAATGCTACCATACCGTGTAAAAAACTTTTCTACACTTTTGGTGCTTTCAGATCTTACTATAAGCCCAAATCTTCGGAAGCCAAATCTAATACGCAACTTATTCCTTCTATAATATCGTCATTTTGACTTCATGTGATTTTGTTAATTAAAAAATTGCAAATATCATAATAAGCAAAAAGATGAAATAAACCACTTTTCTCAGTTAATTTCAGCAATCATTATACCGATTGAAAAAAGAAAAAGAGTAAATAAAACGAGTTTTTTTTTCGGGAAATTTTCCTCATATCCTGAGTATCATAAAAATGTGATAAAACTTGGCTCAATTCCTCTGGCCACTAAAAACAGATATGAGAAAAGCCAAGGCTCTGCGTAATGAGCAAAATGAGAGGGAAACGGAACAATGTATCCATCTCATTTGTGAGTTATTATAGTTATCCCGTTCCAAAATTTTACCTTTTAACCAGGATAATGATGCAGTTAGTAGTTAGCTATTGAACAGTAATAGCAGTAATAAAAAGGAACTGCACCCGTAAAAACGGATAAACTGGTTTTTACCCGGAATTCTAGCAATAGCAAAAACTGCAAATGAGCTTCATTTTGTGAATGTTTTTAAAACATTACTGGTTTAATAGCATTGAGATTTTTTGACTCACATTTTATAATCACCTAAATAATGGTACCATTTCTCGTTTTTCATTCTCTTTTTTTTTTAAATAGCTGCGAAAAAATGAGTACCGTTTTATTAGCGATGGAAAAGTTCGCTGCACAATTTCACACTCTCCGATCTTCTGGTGTAAACGTAGAATACATCAGTCTTTCTTTTTCCAATAATTTGGTAAGTTCATCCCACCGGTTAATTCATTTATTATTTCATGAAGCATGAATCAGGATCAATGGGTCAAGGGGTAGAAATATTTGGATTTAACAGGAACTTTTTTATAATAATCAAAGCCTAGAAATATAATCGTAGTATAGGAGTGATAACTATATGAAGGTAGTATCGAATCATAGTGATTTAAATAAGCTGAGATCAAATTCCATGCCAAATTATCGATTTAATCATGGAGTAGAATTAAATGAACTAGTTTGGATAAATCAACTAAATTCAACCATCACTGCAATCCATTTCATAGAGCAAGTAACCTTGTCCTGATGAATTCGATATCATTGGTGTCCCAGAAAAAGTCACACCTCAGTGAAATCGATTACATCGGGACGGATAAGATGTAATTAAGCAAAACTAACACTAAATTAGACTAATGTTCAAAGGTCTCATATTCATTTGACGCTATTATAATCACTGACACCAACCCAACTTCATTTCTAATTATTTGATTTGTTTGTATCGGCATGTATGTGTATATGTGTGTATGTGTGTGTGTGTGTGTGTGTGTGTGTGTGTGTGTGTATGTCTGTGTGTCTGTACACGTGAGTCATTCATACTTAACTAATGAGTATTTTCATCTAAATTGTTGTTTGCGTAAGAAAAGTATGCGGAAGAATTTGTTGTTAAGAAGATGCAATATGTCTGTCAATTAGTTGTGCGGTATTTTGACAATTAGCGCAAACTCCCATTTATCAGAATGCGAATAATGGCAGCATCAGATATTTTTGATGATTAATCAAGGTATTGAAGAATTTAGAAATCTCATTGAAAAAGAATATGAAGACACAGAAGTAGGAAAGTTTCATGTGACAAAGACATGCAAAATTGAAGGTTGAAGGTCACAAATTGTTCCACAAAAACCTTCGGTTTTTTTTTTTTTTAAGTATTTTAAAATAAATTAAATAGGAGAGAGAAAAAAACGAAAGATGATTTAATGATAAGAGTATAAATGATATAATGAATGTGATGAAAACTTTTAGAGTATAAATGATAGGCCAATAAAATGCAAATTTATTGACATTATTGGTAATAAAAATGTAAATAAAATTAGTCTGAAAAATTGGATAATTTTCAAGAATAACAGACTATTTCCGTTCTTTCATTCATTTCAATCCGAAACTATGTAATGATACAATCCTAATTGTTATATATAATTATATTATTAAATATGAAAAAGGAAATAAAAAAAAAAAAGACTGAAATGAAATCATTAATAATAATGTCATAATGATGAAATAAAGTACATATTACATGGTTCATTCCAATTTCATTTTTCATAATAATCAACTGATGATTTATTTAATGGAGGAGAATTAGTTATCAGTTATCATCTGTCACCTGGTTATCAGATAAATTTAGCCTATGTTATACTGTTTTGACATTTTTTCTGTTTCAAATTAAATTTATATATGAATATTGCGAATGGATTAATTTTTTTTTGTTTTTTTGCAGCATAATGACATAGAAAGCACAGTAAATGATGACAAATCACTAGCCATTCTGTTATGTATCATAAAAACGATGTACGAAAGAAATTTGCATATTGCTCTCATTATTATAATTTTATAACTTTCCAATAGAGTGTTTATTGTCATTGCAAGAGATTCATTTCATTTGTTGTAGAAGCTGAAGAAGTAGAATTGGTGACAGATAACGAAGGATGAAAAACGAAAAAAACTGGTTGATTTTTCTAAAATCATAAAAAATACAATTAATTCATAATTATGAACAACATATCAAATGTTATAAATTACGGATTTTATGCTTCGCTGAATTGAAACCAGTTGTTGAAAAAGTATGTCAATTACCGCCACTATATACCTACCTAATCTTTTTGTATCACTTGTCCTATGATAGGATTGCTTCCTGATTGCTGTGCTACTAATAAAATACGAATTAAAATATAAATAAAACATTTCCATTAAATATGGAAGGAATGAAATCAAGGAAATAAATAAGAATGACTGTGTATTACATTTGAGAATTAGTTTTAGTACTTTATCGGGACAAAATGAAAATGTCCAATAGCCACAATGTAACCTAAATTATGTCTAAATAGTCGAATAATTATGATGTTATATCTTTAGGATAAATGAGCTTGAAATATTTTTGCTTGCTTTGCAATAGTGAACATGAGATAGTTAAAACATTTCAAAATAAGTTTAAATATAGGCTTATGAGCTAAATGAAGGATTGGTAATGCCTTTTAAAGATCATTTTTTGCAAATGAAGAAAATTTTTTCAACAAAAATATTTTATGTTTTTTTTTCTAACTGATGTTTGACCATTCGTTGGAATCGAAAGTTTCGAGAGAAGAGAAAAGTTAGAGTGAGGAAATGATGCAATAAAGTAAAGAGATGATTCAATTGGTTCATGGATATCAATTGTTTTCCGCCATGGTAACTGACAAGTTTTCGTCTTGATCTTTGATGTTTTTATCAAATAGTTGCGATGCATTCATCGGTGATGTCTGATTTTTAACTCTTAATGGCATTTCAATGGAAATAACAACAAACAAAGAAATTATCAGACATAGAAATGGAGAAAAAAAAATTAACTCCACTATTTTTCAAATGAAAACGAACTTTGAAATGAATTAAATATTAGATGGAATAATCATTGGTATTGATTAAATGATGATAAACTGATAAGTTCAATTCAAAATACCATAAGTCAAGTACGGAAATTTGAATATTTGGAAAATATTTTCATTTTATTTTGAATGTGCTTCACGAATACAACTTTGTCAAATTATCAAATTTACGATAAACAAAGATAATAAATTTTCTCTAATCACAATATATCACTTCATACATTAATTGAATGATTAGATGGATGATCATAGATAATTTGAGAAAAAAAAATTCATTCATTGTTAGAAAAATATTCCATAAATGCTTTGAAGTTATTTACATTTAATGTTTTTTCATTATTTGTCGTTCGTTTTTTTTTTTCCTTTTTGTTTAATTGAGGTGCGATGACAAAAAAAAAGAAACGCACAATGGGAAAAGGGTGACACAATGATATCAGGCACTTTCAGTGTTCATTGATCAACGAACAGAATTGACAAATTTGAATTCAAATCAGATGTGATCGCTTAAAAAATATGCGTCGTTCAACTAACTCATCCACACTACCATATAATTTTTGCTCTATTTCTCGTAGTCAAACCACAATAATCTCCAAAAATGATTTGTAATTTTGTTTTTTGATTTGAATCAATAAATGTTTCAAATTTTCAAACAAAAATAAAATTTAAATATCATTAAAAATTTAAAATATTATATGCATAAAGACAATAACTGACATTATCAACGATACTTTTTAATCCGATCATTTCGAGACTACGGTATGATATAATCAAGCATCGAAGATTATTGAATTCAATGACTCTTAGATGAAAATCAAATAATCCATTCTGTTCAGTAACCAAAATACTAACTTGATATTAATCATTATATGGAATGTCGTTCAGAAAGAAGAGACTAAAGATCATATCGTATCACATCATATCAAATCATACAGATCAAAGAATGTATGATGTCCGCATAACCCATTTAATTCATGAACCAAAATTTAATTTATGAATCACTCTGCCATTCTAAGTGACCAATGAGAATTGTTCACAAAAAAGTCATCAAAATTCAGGACATATGCGCCATTTCCACAAAGTACTATCATATTATCTTGGCTTGTTTTGCTACTTTCTAGTTGTCCTTTAATTGCTAGTAACGATGAAATACTATTGGCTCATAATATAATATAATCTGTATCCTTGATTGGAAAATTTCTCTTTAAAAATTAATTATTCATAAATTTAATATCTCTATAATACAATTAAAATTACTTAAAATAGATATCTGAGTAAAGTAATCATTGATTATTGAAACTAAATGATACTGAAATAGAATTTGGAAGATTCTTTCCGGTCCGGTTTAGCAAAAAAAAAAAAAAAAGAGAAAAAAAGAGAGGAGACAGTGGGGATAGGATTCTTTTCTTTATTTTAAATAAAAAAAGAAGTACATACTTTTCTGCAGAATAATAAAAACAATAAGAATGTGTTATGGGCGTTTCAGCTATGGTTATGATCGTTCATGTTGGTGTTTGATCGCTAATTTCATCTCTTTCTCTCTCTCTCTCTCTCTCTTTCATTCTTTCACTTTGAAGAAAGAAATGAACCGGTATGCGAGAAAGAGAGTTTGGTGGTTCGGGGATTCTAAGAGAAGTCTGATGACTTGTGATGTACACAAACAAGCATTTGCGCAAATATGTATGGCACACATGCTAAATCGACTGAAGCATTCGACCAATTCATGATTGTCACCCTCTTCAAAAAGTGACATATAAAAGAGTTTTTGTTTTATTTTAACTTATTAAATGTGTCATTTCATTAATAATATAATGAAATTTTGGAAGGCAAATGGTATAGAAGAAGTTAATAATTGTCTAATTAATCGCAATGTTTACTTTATAGTTAAAAAACAAAAAAAGAAAAAAGTGGTAGGTATTAATTTGCAAGAAAAAATACAAAATATTAATATTAGTGGAATTCAATTTATTTATGGTAGCAAAAAATAATTAAAAAGTTTTAATTCATTGTGAAAAATAAGCCAGAAACCTTCTTCTTTTTCATTCACAAAAACAAAATGAAATACTTCAATGTTATACAAACAAACACATTTCCATACATTTTACCTGTAATTTGGAAGGCAAATGGTATAGAAGAAGTTAAATTAATTAATTAATTAATCAATTAATCAAGCAATTAATTAATCCAGAAAATGTATTTTAATATATAAGCAAAATTACAACACAATTTTATATGTGAATTCGATGCATATTTATTTGAAGGAATTATGCTAAAGATAACATTCAAATGGTTGTCAGATGTAGAAGAGAGAAATGATTCAAAGTTTTTTGATGAGAGAAACCGTATTTATATACTTTATTTCTAATCTTTTCAACAATATTGTCGTAACAAATTAATGAAGTCTTATAGTAGCTTCGGTGACGATTTGTTGTCTTGCAATTTGCTTTTTCTCATAAGCAATAACAACAACAACAACGGCAACAATGATAACAATAACAATAGTAGCAATAATAATAACAAAAATTGCAACAACAATTACAATAATAATAACGACAATAACATCAAAATAATAATTTCTGATGCCGTTGAAATGCGGTAAAAGAAAAGCGAAAGGGTAGGAAGAATTAATTTGAATTCATAACAACTTTTTAAAGTGATATATGAAAGAGGAAGCCGTATGTAACAGTTTTTTTTTCTTTCTTGATACCATAGTTACGACAAAACGTGGACCGTTGTTGTACGCTTAGGGATGAACGTGAGTTACGTGTGATACACTTAATTGCCCATGATATTTGCTTTTAATCAATGACAAATCAACTCATCACCTACCAATTTCTTGTTTTCTATTTAGATTAGTAGAAAGTAATTTAATTTCTTTCTTAGTTCTTTTCAACATAACTATGAAAAGTTCAAATGTTTCAGTTTTCATCCAAATAGAAGTGATACGCAATGATAAGAAGAAGTTAACTGTGATAAATGGAGGATGTATAAAGGTGAGATTTTATGATTATCATTTCCAACGGTTCCGTTCTGATAGTATACTGTAACGTGCAAGTTATCCATTTTTCGACTTTCCGATTTCGCTTCCACACTTTCCTTTGCAAAATTTTCCGTTTTCTTTGTCCAATTAGGTTTTAGCCAATTATTTGCTATTCCTATGTGATAATATATTATCACATCAGGATTATTTCTGTAGGAGAGAAAAGAACAAATCCTCATTTATAGGTGAGGAAAAGTAAACAATATGTCATTTAAGGTTGTTGTCAATCTTTAATTATCCAAATATGATGTAGTGCATTCGCAATATTTCACATAGATTTAAATTGATCCTAAGATTAGCACAATTTATGACAAACTTCTAATCTGCTCATTATTAAGAATATCTTTAAAAAGGAACGTTTAAGGGAATTTTCAAAAAATGCAATGTTTTATGAATTTATTGACTATTGGCAAATATTAAAAGGATCCGATCATAAACAAATGCATCTTTCGAGTGTCATCCTCATAATTTAATCTCATTAAAAACAAATGATTAATTGGATTGTCTTTAATCATTTAAAATTTCCTTTGAGTGGGGTGGAAATTCTTTACACATTTTTTCAATTAATTAAATGATAAAAGTGGACAAAAACCTTTGAAAATATTCCGATAAGTGAACGAAATCACGAAATATTGAATTAAAATTTTTGAGAAAAATCAAACTTTCATTAATGCTAATGAGGTGTCTGTCATCTGTAAGAATTGTCAACCGAAATAGATAAGAAATCATTTCAATCATTTAGGAAGAAAAAAAACAAATCGACAAAACAACACAAAAAAAAGCGTAACAGATGAGGCCAGAACATCGGCGAATTGTTGGATTCAATTTTAGACAATAGTATCAACTTCCAAACCATATGAACTCTCCATTAGCTTGTTCTTCACCTTCGCATTCTATGAAGAGGTCAAGTTTTGGTAATATGAATTTTAATTAGTCTTTTCTAATAGATGAAAAATTTTAGCTAATCTTTTCTAACAAGTGGAAAGGTAATAGGCCAAGGTATACGGACGGTACGAAGTAATATTTAAATGAAACGGAAAATGGATCAATGAAAGAAAATGGACATTTGCAAATTTGCATAATTCAGTTAGCATGTGCTAGCATGAAATTTTGATTTAACCTTTATGATAAGATGATAGTAATAGCTTGGCATAAAAATGAATGGAAAGAGTGCATGAAATTGAAAGAAAAAAAAAAAACCTTTTTAAGACGATGTCGCATTCGATGTATACCACATCGGATATCAAAATGAGAACCAAACTGCAAAATGATTAATTTCTTTTTTATCATTCTCTGTTGTATGAAAGAATTTTGAGAAATTATTCCGGAAATATGATGAAATAAGCAAAGTAACCTTATCAAAAATAGTTTTTTCATCCTCCTTAGAAATCCAAAAGAAATTAATGAACAGGGAGAGTAGAAAAATTGCGACAACGAAGCATGACGATACAGCTAATGGGCCCAAATAATCGGTGAGTTTAAATGTCTGCTTCATTTCCTCTTTTGTTGTTGCTGTTGTCGGATGAATCGAATCGATAATATCTCGTATAAGAAAATTCAAAAGACAAAAGTTTCCTATCAAAACAGGTAAATTAACTATTCAACAGGTAAATGAGAAATGCAAAAAAATAGGGAAGAGAAGAATTTTAATTTTGAAACATTCATTGAAAACTTTAAATCTGACTATTTTTCTAACTTTAAATTGAAATCTTTCCTTAATTAATTTTCTCCTCCAATGCAAACGATGTCCAAAAAAAAAATAGATAGATTCCAAAGGACTGTCAACATTTCAAACTTATTGAATATATCACATTTATGAAAAGAAATGTATTGTTTAAAAAGATTTTTTTTTAAATGATGAAATTTCGTAATTTTTCCTGAAATAATTTCAAAAAAAATCCAAAAAGATGAATTATAACTAAAGAAAGTAACATAAAAAAGAATAGTAAAGTAAATTATAAATTGAAAGAAGCGAAAATGAATGAATTGGAAAAAGAGCCATTGGAGGAACAAGCGGAAAAAAGGTATATTACAAGTATGAATGAAGGGGATGGCGATGATGATGAAGGATGAGCGGGATTGAAGGACATCGGTTAGTAATAACTGGTCAGTTGATGGACACTAAAGTATAAATCAGATGACCTCATCTAGGATGGAATAT